CAAGGGAAAGGAGGACCCCAGACTATAGGACTCAGGAGCAAACTCTCAACAGATCAAGCTACCCTGACTGACAAGACCAGGTGAGCCTTCACCAGGGTGCCTTTTCACACCAATGTGCTCACCTGAGAAGGACTGGCAGGTAATTATTCCCATTTCCCTGGAAGGGGAAGAAACTTAGATTTAGAGGGTGAAGCCTGAAGACACGTGACCAGTTACAGAATCGGACCCTGACCTCAGTATTTGGAGGGGCAGGCTGAGGAATAGTTGAGGACATGCCCCTGGGGCCAGGCTGCCTGAGTTCAAGTTCCAGCTCAGCCTCTTAACAGCTGTATGAACTTCAGCAAGTTACTCTACCTCTAGGGGTCTCATCCATAAAATGGGGAGAATGATAATAATAGTACAATACTCATCCCACAAGGCTGTAATACGGATTGAGTTTCTCTGTGCCAAGCTCTCAGCCATGCCTGGCACAGTCTGTGCATCCGGCCTCAAGATGCAGTGGGAAGAGAGTCCCTGAAGTTCTGTGTGTGATCAGGGTGGGGCTGCAGGCAGTAAATCTGCCTCCACATGTCACCACCAACCCGACCTTGCACACCAGTGTGGAGGGTGTGCACTGATGTGTATTCAGTGTGGCAAAGCTGCATGCATTTACCAGGAGAACTCGGGCCAGCTGCAAATCCTGGAGCCTAACACTGAGCAATTGCTCAAGTAAATAAAGTGAAATAAACTAATCACCCAGGGAACAGGAGACATTCCTCTTGTCTGCACTGGTAATTGAGCAATTGTAGCCACCTTCTTACTTCCCCAGTGCTACTCTGAGGTTAAAAGGGAGCCTGGCCAGAAATGCAAATGTAGTCTGTGGGGTGGGGGGGGTCCCAGAGCTGTCCCATCAGGTCTTGGTACGCCCACAGCATGTGTGCTAAGTCTCACCCTTCTCACCTTTCCCCAAAGCCCAGTGGGGCACAGAACTGCACAGACCCAGCAGAGCGCCAAGAGCTAAGAGCCGAGGGCTAGGTGCTGAGCCAATCCAGCCCCACTGCCGGAGGTCTCTTGCATAAGGCACAGTTCCCTCCCTCTCACAAGTTCTCCACCGAGCCACACACTTTTTCCAGCCCTGGGCAGGGCACCTCTACTCTGTGTGTGTGGGGTCTTCGGCACAGGTTCAGTGGGAACAGAGGCCCTTGGACTCCCAACCACGTGTGAAAACTGTTTGCTCCAACCTCCATGTATCTCCTAGAAAGGCCTGGAGCACCACCCAGGGTCCGGCTCTGCCCCTGTACATGCCTCCATTGGCCAGCCCATCCCAGAAGTGTCAACAAGCAGGCCAGGTGAGAAAGCCCTGCTGGCGTTCAGAGAAAGCCAGGGCTGGGAGCCAAAACAAAATGATGAAGGGAACACAGTCTCCACCAGAAGAATCTGTCACAAAACAAAATTCTATATTCCTCAAGCTAGGAGTGACTCTGCATAGAAGTTTGTCCATCAGGCAGCGATGCCTCAAGTCACCCCAGGTAGATGAGGGCCTTCAGGAGTCCATTCTCCAAAATGGCCTGCCTTCAGGAGGATCTTCCTAGGTTCAACACAGTCCATATGTTCACAGTGACTTAATCTGAAAGGGCAGAGTGGGTCCCAGGCAAGAATGAATCAGACCTGAGGCCAAGGCTGGTTTGAATAAGGTGCAGCACCTTAACCTCAACCACAAACTCATTTTTCATGCCGATGAAGTCATGCTAAATTGGCCATTGAGAGCAGCTTCCAGTGGGAAACAAAGACCCAAAAGGTCACTGCTGAGTCCTGGAAGAGGGCAATTGTGTGGGGGGCCACCTCAGTGCCATGCTGAAGGCATGGGCACTGGCATAGCCCAACTGCCTGGGTTCAAATCCTGCTTCTTCTATTTATTGGCCAGATGATGAATGGGCATGATATTTTCTTCTCTGTTCCTCTATTAATTTTTCTATAAAATGGGGATGATAGCAGGTGCCTACTAGGTTAGGTTGCGGTGAGTCTTCAACAAGCAAACACATGTCTGGCACTTAATGTACACAAGGTATTGGTTGTCCTGAGGATGACCAGTGTGCCAGGACATCCTGGCTTATGTCTGTTGTCTCAGCATCATTATTAATGCTCTCCCTTTCACTCTCAAAGGTGAATGGGTTACACAATAAATTCTAAGGCTGACTGGCTCTTGTCCTTTTTTCTGTCCACCTGGTTATATCCCTGTTTCGTGCTGCCTCTCTTGAATATTGGGGAGCCAGGTTCCCAAAGCATATATCTCTGGGATAGTTCTGCCCATGCTACTGAGATGTCTGTGCCATGCACTCAGTTTTCCCTTTTTCCCTTCACTTTGTTGCCTCTCCCTGTCCTTTCCCTCCTCCCACAGCCATCTTCCCTCTCTGGGTCTTCCCTGTCAGCGGCCTAGGAAGCCAGGAGTGCACACAGGGTAGCTTTTGTGCACTGACCGTGCACACTTGGGTGGGACCCTTTCTGGCTCTCTAACTAAACCATGCCTTACCAAATTTCTCTTAGAGAAAGGAAACAATCTGAGATATCAAAGAAATTACCTGGCCATTAGATGGATCTGTAGAAATAATGTGGCATTTGGGGTATATGTGTGTGAATTTGTGTTGTTTGAGATGGGGGGAAAAAAAGGGAATAAGAGCTTGAAATGGTCCATCACATGCTGGAACCTATCTATAAAAACTGCCCCCAGAGCTATTTTATGGGAGAGGCTGGAGGCTGCTCTCCAAGCAGCTGCCTCCCCACACACAGAGGCGAGAGCAAAACGGGGGAGTCAGGAGCCTGAGAGTCTGGTCCCTTCTCTGACACTCACTAACCACTGGTGAAAGACCATGATGTTCTGAAGCCCCAGTTTCCCCATCTATAAAGCAGGGCACACTTGTCCCTAGATCACTGGGTGCTATGATATTGTAAGAGGCCCTGGCCCTGTTCTTAGGCTCTTGAAACTACACTTGTGGAATTTCACAACAGTCTGCAACTACATCTTTAGGGCCTGCCTAGCCCTTGACAGAGGTCGAACAGAGGAGGGAACCAAACCTGGGACAATATGATAACCTGACCTAACTCTAGCCCAACGAGTCCCCTCTGCACTGAGACAGAATACGAATTGTTCAGATGGGAGAAAAGCAAGCAAGTGATGTGAATTCAGTGACTGACTTGCCACTTCCCGGGGGATCCCCCACCGACCTCCCTCAGCACTACTTCTGCCAGCTGCCTTCCAGCATCGCAGCAGCCTACAGGCTCGGAGAGCATGCTCAGTTCATTCACAGGAAGGAGGCTGGAGGCAGGGGATGCAAAACCGATGGCCACTGCAGCCCCTGTCCCTGTGCAGGATGCCATCACAGGCTCCCCCCTCTCCAATCACCCACCAAACCTGACCCCACTCCTGCCCAGTACTGGAACCCAAGTCTCCATCTTCATGGTCTCCTCCTCTTCTCTGGCCTCTGACATTTATTCAGCTACCAGACTGGAACTATTCCATGTCTCTGGGTGCAAATCCCTGCCCCGGCACTTATTTGCTCTGTGACCTTGGACAAGTTGTTTAGCCTCTGACTCTCAGTCTCCTCCTCTACACAATTTGTAGAAATAGTAATCTCCTCTTAGGCTGCTGGGAGGATTAAATGAAATCATGTGTGACAATGTCATACCATGGGCCCTGGCTCAATGCTTCCCCTGACACACATCCCTTTTAGCAACATCTCTGGTCGCGCGCCCCCCTCTCCATTTCCAACAGCCCTGTTCAGCCACACGTGGTCACTGCACCATTCTCCTTCCCAGGTTCTCCTCCCACAGCTTTCTTCACTGTTAGTGCATCCCAAATATTTCTCCAAACACCAAGTTCGTCTGCACCCAGACCCAGGAACACCATTTCTCTTCCTATCAAAATACCCCCAGGCTTAATAATGAAATTCAAGTCCCCTAATCTAATGCTCTAGGCCTTCCACCATTCCTTAAAATTTCAACTGTCTGCTCCCAACCAACATTCTTCACCACATCTCCACTACATTTTCCCTTGTCCCTAGACACCTCCCACCTCCATGACTCTGCTCAGGTGTCCCTCCCCGAGAAATGTCCCAACCCAGCCACTTTCTCAAGGCACAGCCTAAGTGCCACCTCCAGAATGCCATCCTGATCACTCCTTCCAGAAGTGACCTCCCTCCTCCAAAGTCCCCTAGACTCATGGCATTCATCACTGTTACAGCAGAGTACTGAGAGGTGAGGAGACCACAGGTCATCTGTGAAGCGTCCCAGTTATCATCCAAAAATATGCAGAGTAGCTCTTACAGGCAAACACTACCCAAAGAGGTCATGCATGGTGATTTTGCCTAAAAAGGGACATGAACCCCAACTCCTCAGTCTAAAATTCTGATTCTAAACGGAGTAAGCTGCGCCTATTCCATATCCCTATGCCCATATCCTTGATAAAAAGATTCTCTACTATGGGTGGCTTCTTTCAGAGACACAGAACTCACTACCTCATGAGTCAGGTTCTTCCTATGAAACTCTATCACTCCTGGGGACTTCCACCCATGGGCTCTTTCTGCCCTCTGGAGTAACCCTAAGCTAATTCATTTGGGATTCCTGGTATCCTCCTCAGAGCCAAACACAGGGCAGGTCCAAACAAGGTCTTTGTAAGTGGACAGATATATGGATTTAAAGGGCCCTCCTACATGCTCAGGTATATTCACCACATCCCCGTGCATACATACACACACATACACACATGCACACGCAGACACACTCACACACATGAGCCAGAGTCAGCAAGGCCGGCTGAGTCATGCCCAGACCACAGCACCAGTGGGGCCAGGGAGGAAGTGCAGCCCCGGCAGCAGCCTGTTTCCGGACCTTCTTCCTTTGTTCTGGGAGGCTCTCTCTCTCTTTCTGACTTTCTGACTTTGTCTCTCCCAGGTCTTTGTTTCTACACATGCAACAGCTGTACTGCTGTCCTGACCCACGTGGCAAGAGTTCCTAGCTGCACTGACCTCCAAGTGAGGAGTTCCGGTTTCTGGACTTGTGATCCTGGGCCAGTCACTTCACTCTGCAAAACGAAGAGGCTGGATTGGCCAAAGGATTTCTGAAGTCCCTTCCAGATCTTAGCCCTCCTCCATTCCCTCTCAGGGTTCTCAGGGCCAGGGCTCTCTAAGGGAAGGGAGCAGGGGCCAGGCCGGGCCTGGGGACAGGGGTCGGGGCCCCAGCTGGTTCCGTCTGGAGTGCACAGTCTCCAGCCGGCCCTCCCAGAAACCCCATGTGCTGCACACACACGGCCACTTGGCTGCCGCGGGGGAAAAGCAGGCAGGAAGCGCCGTTCTCCTGCCTGCTTTCGGGCACAGGGGGCTGGGAAGACGCCCACCCCGATAGTCCTCCACCGTACCTCGGGATTCACCGCCTTCTCTCCTAGCTGCCAACGCCACCGCCTGGCTCACAGCTGTCAGGTAGCGCGGGCTGCTCCGCCTGACTCCGCGCCCGGAACCCCGCGGGCTGGACTGGCCGCCTGCGGCGCAGAAGTGGAGGCGGCGCCCTGAAGCCCGCGCTGCCAGCCGCCACCCCCTGGGCGCCCTCCGGAATCTGCACGCGCCGCGCAGTGGGGTCCGGGCCGAAGGGAGGAGACCTCAGGTGGTCAGGGAACCTGGGAGGCGAGGGCGGGGCTGCAGCTGACTTAGCCTACCTAACTGGTTGGGCTGTCTTGGTCTCTCTGTTCCCGAGTTCCCCTAGGCCCCTTGCCCTGCCTCCAGAATGTTAACAGGTTGCAGAGCCCGGCATTTCTTCAATGGAGGGGAATCGGTCTGGAACCTTGAGGGCCCACTGGAGAGAGGTATGGGTAGACATCCCAGAACCTGCAATGTCCAAGCCCACTCCAGATGTTAACTCTGGGGATTTTGTCCTTCTTACACTTTTCTGTCTCTTCTATTCTTCTGTTGGCATGAATGCTTGTATAATAAAAAGCATCCAATACATATGTTTAATAAAGTTTTAAACAAATCTCCAAAGGTCTTCCAAAGCAGTCAGGCTGAAGAATAGCTCACAACCTGCTACACAAGGCCCTTCATGTCCACTGTCTGGCCACAAACTTTCCAGCTTCACCCTGTGTCCCCCAGACACACTTGCAGCCTGCTCTAGGAACACAGGCCGCTGCCAAATACCAGCTGCTGGGAGTTCTTGCTTTGCCTGGAATGCCCTTCTTCTTTCTTGTCTGCCTGTTGAAATACTACTCATCCATCCAGACCCAACCGAAATGTCCCCTTCTTCACGAATCCTTCCCCAGGCACTGGCCCCCAAAGAAAGGCCCAGCTCCCTTGGTGAACCCGCATTTTCATGCTGGTATATAGTACATTAGACCCCCTTCCTCTCCCTCTTCCTTTCCTCATCCCTCTGCACTAAGCCCTATTCCTGGAGGAACGGAAATAAACACCGTAAGCAGCTGACATAAACCTATGTGGGGTCCTTTCCTCTCCTTGAATCCCAAGCAGCTACCAGTCCACAACCTCCCTCAACCCCACCCACCTCAGGAGAAGGGTTGCACCAGGCCCCTCCTCCCACCGGCCCCTCCTCCCACCAGAGTTTCAGGAGGCTGTCTACCTCCCCAGCCTTCCTTGTAGTGCCCCAGCCCTACGCATTGGTCTTTTCCGTTCCTGTTCTGGGGTACATTTGCTTATGTTGGTCCCAAGGTCAGGCTGCTGCTCAAACACACAAGTTTGAGGTCTGGCCTTCTAGGTAGCAAAACTGGAGAGCTTGCCTTCTCTCAGCGCTGTGTGAGGGAAGGAGTTCCTTTCCTATCAGAAGCTGAGAAATGGAAAACATCTTAGAGATTATCTAATGCAAAACCTACCCACTCCCATTTTACAGAGGGAAAAACTGAGGCCGGAGAAGTCAAGTGGCATCAGAGGTATCTACCATCATTACTGTTATTAAATATTAGTAATACTGTTATCTTGCAGGGTTAGATTGTCTTTCTCTCCTACAGCAATTCCACATGTCGGGGCTAGTTTACCCCTCACAGTCCCATGGAGGATTATGATATTTGTGGTTAAGTACTCACTTTGAAGGTGCTCCAAACTGTCAGCTATGATCTTGGCAAGTAACTGAACTTTTCTTCATATGCAAATGTGGGTAGTAACAGTCCCTGCATCATAGGGTTGCTCTAAGCATCTAAGTGAGTGTGTATCTTTAAAGGGTTTATAACAGTGGCTGGTACATAAAAATGCCAAATGTGTTTGCTCCTTTTGATGTTTTTGTTATTATTAGATGTGTTATTTCACAGGTGAGGTAAAGAAAGTTGGCAAGGCTGAGACTCATCCAAGGCATGACTGTTGCTACGGGCTGGCTGTTTCACCGAATGCCATGCATTTTGTCTCTGACACCATTCTGCTTCCTGTCTGATCCCATCATTAGACGGGCACCACTCCACTGTCTCCAGCTCTAAATACACCTGCCTCACAGGGTGGAAAAGCAGCTGTCCTTTAGGCCAGAAATCTTCAACCTTTTGCATCTCATGGCACACATAAACTAATTACTAAAATCCTGTGGCACATCAAAAAATATGTATATTTTGCCATTCCGACAAAAAAGTAGGCATAATTCTGATTCATTCACACTGGATGGCTATTACTGTGATGGCTGTTTTCGCTTTTTTTAACTGACAATCTAAGGGAAGAGAGGTTAGTGCCCCTGACTAAATAGTCAAGTATTGCATGTTTTAAAAATCTTGTGGCACCCTGGTTGAAAATCGCTGCTTTAGGCTATCTCACGACACCTAGACATTTTATGCTACAAACACTTAACGTATCTTTTAGGTTTTATGGTGACATCTTTGATGTACCTTGAGCCTTCCTTCAGTATCACAGAATCACTGCATGTAAGAGCCGAAAGGTCAGCTGTGCCTCACTCACTCTCCACCCACAGCAGAGAAGAAGAGGTGGGCAAAGGTGATTCTTCTCCTGTATGGATACAGGAAACTGAGGCAGGGCAGGCACTCCTGGATGGCCCCACCCTAGGTAGGCAGCCTGAAGCTGAGCGAAGATAAGGATCTCTACTTCCTCTTTCCTTAGGACCCCATGACTCCTAATCCAGAGTTGCTGGAGAAACACAAACTCATTCATAGAAAGAGTATTTACTGAGCAACCACAAGGTGATGAACAAAAACTTAGGCAGGGCCAGCTTCCTAGGCTCTAACACATGCAGTTGAACACTAGAAGAGCCTCATGCTTGGTTTAATGCCCTGCTGTCGCCTTCTTGAAATTCTTTATAATTTTTGAACAATGGGCCCAGCATTTTTATTTCACACTAGGTACTGCCAGTTGTACAGCTGGTTCTGCACCTAGGTCTTCCCCAGAGCTCTTGGGTTTCTAAGGAGTCAGCCAGGGGACTGATGGTTGCTGTGACAGAGGCAGGGGAGCTGTGGAGTACAGGGCATGAACTCGGCCTGCACTCAGCTCTCTCGGGCCACCTTCCCCGGCTACGTTAGCCTACCATGCCACCAGCTGCTTGCCACAGTGCTCTCTGCTGGGATAACCGCCTTGGTTAGGCACTGAAGTCCCAAATAGCTGCTGCAAGCCCCAAGACCTGGCAGACCACTGCTATGTCTTGGAATGACAAGGAATTGTGTGTCATCGGAGCCCTAAGCCTTCCTGATGTCCCCCACCCACACCTCACATTTCACCCAGACTTGCACTGGCCTTTGGTTCCTCTGCCTTTCCAGGCCCAGCTGACATCAGGAAAAGGGTAAATAAAGTCATCCTCACTGAAAAGCAAGTGGCAGATAAAACCAAATGGACTCTTCATCCAAAGGGCACTCGGATTTCATTAGGGACATTTTTGTATTCTCCTGGCCCGCATGCCTGACCTGTAATAGGCATCTAATTCATGATAGCTGAGTATGAAGGATAAATGTCTACGAATGATGCCTGGAATAAGCAATTTGAAGTTCACTGGCTCAAGAAGAGGGGATTTATTGTGTTTCATTTTGTTTTCATTTTTTTTTTGTTTTGTTTTGTTTTGTTTTGGAATAATGCTGGAAGCCTCAACGCAATGGTTTGGAAGTGAATGGGAAGTAAGGGAATGGAGGAGTAGGAGGGACCACTCTCAAGGAGATTGGCTGGGGAGGGGGCAGGGGAAGGAGGTAGTATTGGAACTAAAGGAAGAAGACAAGCACAGAGGAGCCTTGAAAATGTTTGTAGATTAAGGTCAAGAATCTGATGGAGAGAGAAGGAACAGGGAGTGAGGAGGGTCAAAGGTCCTGGGTTGAGAAGAAGCAAGAAGGCCCTGACCAGTGTGGCTCAGTAGGTTGGTCATCATTCTGCAAAGCAAAAGGTTGCCGGTTCAATTCCTTGTGGCTAGGGCACATGCCTGGGTTTCAGGTTCAGTTCCTGGAAGAGGAGGAGGAAGATAAAGATGAGTGAGTATGAAGAACAAGGCATGGGAGGAATATAGAAGGAGTTCTTAGATTGTGGGCCCTGTTTTCTCTATGACACAAGGAAATAGGTAACAGCTACAGTATCTAGGTAGACAAGTGGGGTGGATAGCATTTAGACACTTGTGCTGTGAGTTGCTGCCTCTCTGAGGGGGGTGATGGGAGCCACCCAATAGGGGAGAATAGCAAGTGGGCTTGGAGGGTGCAGAGACCCTTGCAGGAGATATACTTCCTGAATCACCTTTATACTTGGTGGCACCCTTCCTCCTGGCATTTCTGACTGGGTTTTCTTGCTTACACGCTGCTCTCAACTGTAATTGAAGGCCAGTTTCTCTTGCATGATTCTCCCAGGGGAACAGTAAAAATATTCATTGTTCCAGTACAGGAATTCCTCTGCTGTCCCTTCTTCCTTTTCATGAGTGGCTCCGATTACAGAGTTTCCAACAGGTGGAGGCCAAAAAAACAAACAGGCCTTTCAATATTGACTCTCCCAGGCTCCATCCAGCTAGCAGCATCTGCCCCACCTCCCAGAGCCTCACCAGCAAAGGCCAAATCAAACACTGCCCGGGGCTAAAGGGCTGGCGCTCAGCTCTGGAGGGAGATGGCTCTGTAGCCTTACCTGTTGTCTTTCTCCTCCTTGCACATGCTGACTTGGGTGGGAAGAAAGCATTTTTTTATGAGATCACAGGGGCCAATTACAAGCTCATAGCTGTTATTGAAAAATAAGGCTAGAATGTAGGAGAAATAAGGCCTCCTTGAGAATATTTATGAAAGCCATGAACTTCTATGGGATACACAGACCTGGAGTCCTTCAGAAGCAGGACAAGGCAGAGCAATGACCTACTCTCACTCCCGCAGCAACAACGGACTTCACCGTTCAGATGGAGTCATAGAGTTATGGAGCTGGAAGAGACTGAAAGTCATAGAGGCATATGTTACAGATGAGGCAACTATGGTTGAGGGTGATAGGTGTAGTGATGTAACTACTTTTGGCCTTAAAGGCAGGATTTAAGTCCATCCCTACATCCCTACAAGTGGCCTCTGAGAGACCA